TGCATGGTATTGTTTGAAACCAACTAATCTGATGTGTGTTAACTTTGTTTCAGGGCACTTTGGTTGCTATGTTTATATTTTAACCAATCTTTGTTTTCAGTTTTGAATGCCATGTTGTAAGAGGAATTATTTGGAAGAGAAAAGGTTGAACACAGATTGAGCCAGTATTCTTATTTCAGCTAACATGATTGGTTACTAATTATTTAATCTGGAGAAAAGAGTTTCACAACTGCGACTACAGTGAAATCCAGAAAAATGATGATTTATTTTTGTAATATAACATTGGATTTAATCCATTATTAACTTGCACAATTTGTGTTGTTGACTGTGGTCACTGATGCACTGTTTGCACACCTCTCACCTGTGACAGGTTCACTAACTTTGACGACTACAAGTGGTTCGAGAAAACCATGGGCCGCGTGATCACTGAGGAGATTGGAGAAGAGATTTCAGAACACACGCAGCAGACGCACTGGTTTGTGGACTTCCTGAGGTATTAACAAGTTGTCATTGTCGTTGTGTTTAACATCATAATGGATTGAAAACACTTACTGTTGTGAGGCTGTTTGCATTGAAAATTGCACATTATTAATGTTAATTATAACAGTTATGAAATAACCTCATTATAACCCGTATATTTTCACACACGCACATGCATGCTCACACCAAATAATAGAAAATGCATGCACGGTGACTTCTGCATCACCTCATGTCACAGTGTATGACTGAAAATAAGTGAAAACCAAGTGACTTCTCTAATATCATTTCTTAGAGATTTTTTATTCAGTATTAGATTTTTCCATAATAATATTTCTTTTCTTAATTATTACTTTTTGAAATTGTAAATTATAATGATCTGAATGTCCTACAGACTCATATTGATCCTGATCATGTTTTTCAGCTCAATAAACATTCAAGTTTACTTTTGCTAAATGTGTTCTTTTTTCTTCATACTCTAGAGATGCCCCAGAGGCTACAGGGGACGAACCAGAGGATGCAGACTTTGACATGCCCAAGATTTATGAACCCGTACGTAGATGTTTCTTTAATGATGAACAGATTTTGTTGTGTTCATGATTATTTGGTGGAAAATATTTTGTGTGAATTGGTGTATGGGCATTTGTAATATGACAGGTCATGTGTGAGGTCATTGAGAGGTCAGAGGTCAATGGAGTGGACGAAGGGGAAGATTCAACATGGTGTGGGCAGCATTGTTTATGGCATATAAAACTTATTTCAAATACGTACTTTTTCTCAATATTACAGCATTGTTTTGAAAATGCTCTATACTTGTTGTCTGTTAAATGGAAGTGGAAGTCTTAGTTGTAAATTTTATGATTTGAAAGTACTTACATTGGGCCAAATTACCATTAAGCATTTCTTGTAATATCACATTCTGTTGAAATTGTAGATTCCATCATTTGAAGCCCTGGAAGAGAGGCTTCGATTCTTCATGGCACAGTACAATGAGAGCATTAGAGGCGCTAACATGGATTTGGTGTTTTTCCGAGATGCTATGACACACTTGGTGAAGATCTCTCGTATCATTCGTACACCACGTGGCAATGCACTGCTGGTTGGCGTAGGAGGTTCTGGCAAACAGTCATTGACAAAATTGGCTTCCTTCATTGCAGGATACAAGATATTCCAGATTACCCTGACTAGGTAAGTTATGTTTAGACTGGGGTAAACTTTTCTTCCAAAAATATAATCATCAGTTTTTATGCCATATCTGCTTTAACACCATAAAAGAGAAAAAGTGAAGCAAAAATTTATCAATTTACTTCACAAAAATTTTAATCAAATCATCACATAGCTTTGAACAGGATGAAATGAAAACTGAAAACCAAAAAATGATTTAATAAAGATTTTGATTATTAATGATAAATGTTATAGAAGTACAGAATGTGCTCATCATATGAACAGCTTGCAGTACAAATGACTTTTTTTCATTTGGTGCATGAAATTAAACTCATTAGGTTAACTTTGGCCCCACTGCCACACCAGTTTCACTTTTAGTCCATTGCTTACCAGTTTCACTTTCACTTTCCCCTTACACAATCCATTGTCACACCAGTTTCACTTTCATTTTCCCACACCCAGGTCCTACAATGTGAGTAACCTGATGGAGGACCTGAAGTACCTGTACAGGACAGCTGGTCAGCAGGGTCAGGGCATCACCTTCATCTTCACTGACCAGGAGATCAAGGATGAGGGCTTCTTGGAGTACCTGAACAATGTGCTGTCCTCTGGTGTGGTGAGTGGAAACTAAAACATGGGTGGATGAAAAAAATGTCAAAGTTTTTGAGTTATTAAATTTCATGTTGTTTTTATCCTCTCAGTGTTATTGTTTATTATTAACGGTAATGTTGCCCTTGTGACAGAGATATTTACACAGCAATATGAAAAAGAAATGATAAGCATTTGCCCTCTTCAGGTCTCCAACCTGTTTGCCCGAGACGAGATGGATGAAATTACCATGGAGTTGATCCCAGTCATGAAGAAGGAGTTTCCGAGGCGACCACCCAGTAACGAGAACCTCTATGATTACTTCCTGTCTCGTACCAGGGCTAATCTTCACGTCGTCCTCTGCTTCTCACCTGTAAGTAAAACTCTTAAGGGGTCCTTTTTTTATATTATTACCAGGAACAGAAGAGTAATAGTATCATGAAGCGGTTGAGAGGGGAAGGGAGCAAACTGTTGAATTTAATAAATAGATATTTGTTAACTTAATTATACTTGACAAATAACAAAATTAAAAAAAAAATACTTCTGATAAAGCTCTTTTCATTTTCTTGTCCTTAGGTTGGTGAAAAGTTCCGCAGCCGAGCACTGAAGTTCCCTGGTCTCATCTCAGGCTGTACCATGGACTGGTTCCAGCGCTGGCCCAAGGATGCTCTGATTGCTGTCGCTGACCACTTCCTGTCCAAGTTTGACATCGAGTGTACGCCAGAGGTGAAGAAGCAGCTGATCCAGGCCATGGGGACTTTCCACGACGGCGTGGCTGAGAGTTGTGTGGAATATTTCCAGAGGTAGGGGATGGGTTGTGATTGGTTGTTTACTGTCACAGTTAACACACTGTCACATCTAACACACTGTCTGCTGTGTAATCATGATTTTTTTTTCTAAGGAAAACAACACTATGGCATTTAGTATCCTTGTTCCTCGGATCCTCCTCTTACATTTTCTGATTATTAAATATTTTTTTTCTTTGAATTTAGAAATGTTAATTAAAGTAATGATTTATTCAATAATTTTTTTTCAAAGGAAGGATTAAATTATAGATGCATCTAGCTGTGCTTTGTTAGCTAAGTTAGTCACAAACCTTTTTTTTTTTTTTTTTTTTTTGCAGATATCGTCGCTCTACCCATGTGACCCCCAAGTCGTACCTGTCCTTCTTGGCTGGGTACAAGACCATCTACAGTGACAAGAGAGGAGAGATTGGAGAGCTCTCTCAGAGGATGCAAACTGGTGAGATTATAAGGATAATAAGGATAATATTGATAATGATGAAAGTATTGATGATAATGATAGTATTGATAATAATGATAGTATTAATAGTGATCACAATAATGATCATAGTATTTATAATGATGATAATAAATAATTATGATGATAATGATAACTATATTGATTATAATGATGATGATGATTTTAAACCTGTTTTTTCTAAGTAACCCAAACTTTATATACACCCGAAGATGCCAACAAGAAAAATACCAATACTCAGTGTGGCAAAATGGCTTTAACCTGTATTCCAAAATCTCAACATTATATCTATCCTCCCCAGGTCTTGAGAAGTTGGTAGAGGCCTCGGAGGCCGTGGGCGAGCTTAGTAAGGAGCTGGAAGTGAAGGAGAAGGAGCTGGCCATAGCCTCGGCCAAGGCAGAGGAGGTACTGAAGACCGTCACCTCCAAGGCACAGGCTGCTGAGAAAGTCAAGAATCAGGTAGGCATTCCTTGAAAATTGTGCTCTTAACATGGTCTTTTGTACTAGAATTTCTAGGAATCCTGTGGTACTAATATATGTTGGTTTGAAATACACTGGCCTTGAGTCTGGCTTGAATGTTGAAAATATATTTCAAAATATGGTGACAAGGGGATCTGGAATATGCCCCTTCTTTTTTTTCAAAAGGTGTTTTGGAAACGTGTTTTACGGCATATAACTTGAAGTAATGCACACTTGTAGCCAGCAACCTGTCTTCCTTTATATCATATGGTAAAATAGTGGTCTAAATATTTTGGTTATTCTGAAACACACTTCACATTCATCATGCATTTATCATTTTTATTATCTCCAACATTAGGTACAAAAGGTCAAGGACAAGGCCCAGGCCATTGTAGACAGCATTGAAGCTGACAAAGCCATCGCGGAGGGTAAACTTGAGGCTGCCCGCCCTGCCCTGGAGGAAGCTGAAGCTGCCCTGAAAACCATCAAACCAGCTGACATAGCCACTGTGCGAAAACTTCTGAATCCCCCCCACTTAATTATGAGGATCATGGACTGTGTGTTGATCTTGTTCCAGCGCAGAGTGAATCCTGTGGAAGTGGACAAGGACAGACCTTGTGTCAAACCCTCCTGGGGAGAGTCCTTGAAGGTGGGTCGATATAGGACAGATAGTGAAAATAATTATAGTTAGTGTGGTGCCTTTTTATATATGGAAATAAATGATAATAATAAGATAATAAACACAGCTATTGAGAGTATAAGTACTACAAATATTGGCAATGATCAGTTATTATAGTGTAAAATTGTGCAAATATTGGAAGTAACTATAATGAATTCTGAGTATGTATATTGATTGGTGAAAGAAATAAAAATGACAAAAGAAAAAAAATTGGATGTTTTCCACTTCTGCATGGAATAAAATTGTTAAATATGATTTGATAAGGTTATTATTTGGACAGATAGTGTTTTTTTATTATAATTATTAAAAAGAATTCTGGATCTAATATTACCTGTAATAACTATGGGTACTCATTGATACTCATACATTTTGATATGCAGATGATGGCAGGTGGTGGCCTCCTCACACAACTTGTAGAGTTCCCCAAAGACAGCATCAACGAGGAAACAGTGGAACTCCTGGCTCCGTACCTGGATATGGAGGATTATAACCTGGAGACAGCGAAGAAGGTGTGTGGTAATGTGGCCGGGTTGTGTTCCTGGACGCAAGCAATGGCCTACTTCTTTACCATCAACAAGGAGGTCCTGCCATTGAAGGTGAGATCTCAGACCTAGAGGAATTGTTGTGTAACAAAATGTCAACAGTCAAAAATCAGTTTTAGTAAACACTGCGGCCATGGATGTTGCCATTGGTGTTGTTGAATTCACAAAGAATCTTAAAGACCGCTTGTTAATGAGGCATTTTTCTCCATTCCATTATATAAAGCCTTGAGCACATTATGACTCACATCAGTAATTTGAACTGTGGAATAGTCATATGTGAAAAGATTGCAAAGTCAACTCTACATAGTGAGATGTTCTAACCCAAAAATAGTTTTAAAAAACACCACTTGTTGCACTGTTCCATGTCATTTTCTTAAAATTTTCATCATTTTGAATAATCATCCTTTCCCACATTAGGCAAACTTGGTTGTTCAAGAGGCTCGCCTCAATGTGGCCATGACTGACCTGAATGCTGCCCAAGCTCAGCTGGATGAGAAAGAGGCTGAGCTGCGGGAAGTGCAGGCCATGTATGACAAAGCTATGAGAGAAAAACAAGTAAGCAAATAATTTAGTTTTGATGCTTAGCCTGGTACTAATACTTTTCTATACTTTTCAACTAAGCTAAATTATTTTTGAATTCTAAGGGATTTATTTCAGAGACTTAAAACAACAACTGTTTTTTGTCAGAATTCAAAAGTACAGAAGAAAAATGGAATTATTTATTTATGCATTAAGATTTTGAACAATTTGTTAGTATTTGATAAGGTAATATATGGGATGTTTATATAAAAATGAAAATGCTCAATTATGTATATTTCCCGCAGGCATTGATTGATGATGCAGAGAACTGTCGTCGCAAAATGAGCGCGGCGTCTGCTCTGATTACGGGTCTGGGCGGTGAGAAGGTCAGGTGGACGGAGCAGAATAAAGAGTTCAAGGCGCAGATTGGAAGGTACTCAAACTGACTGGTTTCTGAATTCATAAAATGAGATTTATGTCTAGTAATGAATTAATTTTAGCCTAACTTTTAATTGGATTGTTTATTTTTTAGTTGTTTCTCATTGCTAAGTAATGGACCTTTTTTTTGCTAAATTGTTCATGCTTACAGTTTGATTTTTTGTACTTATGTAAAGAGAGAAGTAAAGAAAGATCCAAAAGACAGACAGATAGTAAGAATTGATTAGGGAAGGCGTGAATTATTAAGTAAAAGGTTTCAGAAAACACAGAATTAATCTTTACACCGTCTTCCCACTCCAGACTAGTTGGTGACATCCTGATGTCGACGGCCTTCCTGTCCTACTCCGGCCCCTTCAACCAGGACTTCCGCCAGCTCCTCAGCAAAAACTGGCAGAAGGAATGTAAGACCAGGAAGATTCCATTCACTGCCAACCTCAATGTCATTGACATGCTGGTCCTACCCACCACTGTGAGTGAGGCTGGAATTCATATTTTTTTTCTTAGTTTGTGTATTTATTTATTTATTTATTTATTTATTTATTTGTTTGATTCTTTTCATTTATTTATTTATTTATTTATTTATATGTTTCTTTTTCATTTTTTTGTTTGTTCGTTCATGTATTTATTTATTTATTTATTTATTTATTTATTTATTTATAGCGTATTCATTTCATCTCTTCACTCTGACAGACTTGGTCACAGCTGAATTCCCTGTTCATGTGAAGGTGCTAACTGTAACATATAACTATTGTTTGTATTTTCTTTCAGATTGCGGAGTGGAACTTGCAAGGACTGCCCAATGATGACCTGTCCGTCCAGAATGGTTTGATAGTGACCAAGGCTTCCCGCTACCCTCTCCTAGTGGACCCTCAGGGTCAGGGGAAGAACTGGATCAAGAACAGAGAGGGAGGGAATGAGTTACAGGTAGGGGGCGCTCACAGTAGTTACCTAATACTATGAACTTCATACATTTCTCTTGTTCCAGGATTTATAATTGTACTCACTTTAATGTACCAGTTGTCCTGAACCAAGTCACCTTTTGCAGATATATTATCAGTCCAACAAGGTAGTATTTTAAAAAAAATAAGATTTCATGTTTTACATGTAATTTTAACTTAAGTTAATTATATAAAAGTTTGGGTACCACCAACACAATGCAACTTAATGGAATAAATCATATCACTTTCTCCTCAGATCTCCAACCTGAACCACAAATATTTCCGCCAACACCTGGAGGACGCCCTGTCTCTGGGACGTCCACTCATCATAGAGGACATCGGCGAGGAACTGGACCCTGCTCTGGACAATGTCCTGGAGAAGAACTTTATCAAATCAGGTACGGACCTGAAGGAAAACACCCTTGTGGGTCCTTGAAACTGGTATCATTTATCTATGACATGTAAATCATGGACATGATCTGTACTGGATGGATATGAAGAATTATGTTAGACTTTGTATTTGACATCTCAAAAGTCCCATTTATTATATTGTGTGACATTTTGTTTAATAATGATATTGATGATTCAAATTTGAAGCTTGGTGCTTTCATTTTAATTGACTTGATGTATTAATATCAAGTCAGTATTTTCTTATTTAAGGTTTTCCCTTGTTAAAAATACACCAAAAATATCAATATCATCTTCACTAATTAATTCAATAATTGAATGCAAAAGGTTCATTTTAAATCATTTCATTTCTTATTTTTTATTGATACTTCAAAATCCAAAAAAGTCCCAAAGATTTAACAATTCCATCTCCCACACAATCTCCAAAGAGAAAAGGCCTCCATACTAAAGACACCCCCTCTGTGTGTTTCCAGGTAAAACCCTGAAGGTGAAGGTGGGAGACAAGGAGGTGGATGTAATGGATGGGTTCACACTGTATATCACCACCAAGCTGCCCAACCCCAGCTATACCCCTGAGGTGTCTGCCAAGACCTCCATCATTGACTTCACAGTCACTATGAAGGGTCTGGAGGATCAGCTGCTGGGACGGGTCATCCTCACTGAGAAAGCTGTGAGTACATAAGACAAAAATATATAATGCACTGTGAATTATATATGATGTTCAAAATACATCCTATAATAAATTGTTGGAATTCAGATCTGCATGCTGATAACCATTCTCATTCCTTATTTTGCCTTGTTTTATTAGGTTTTTGTTTATTTCGATTACTAATTTAAAAAAAAAAAGGATGATGAATTAGTCAAATGTGCAAAAATATGACAGAGATTGATAATTAAATTAAGGTTAACCAAATAAAGAAAATACAATATATATATATATATATATATATATATTCCTTATGGATATATTCCTTTACCAGACATGAAAATATTTATTCTGAAACACGGAGTATTTTTGATCCCTAGAACTGATAGCTTTATTGTTCCCAATTTTTCTCCAGGAACTGGAGAGTGAGAGGGTCAAACTAATGGAGGATGTGACGGCAAACAAGAGAAAGATGAAAGAACTGGAAGATAACCTTCTGTTCAGGCTAACAAGTACACAGGTAGGCGGGCAGCCATCTTGGATAAAATTAACAAATTATAGACTATTCACATAAGAGACTCTTTGATGTCTTCTCCATTGTCAAGCACACAGGTAGTAAAAAATAAGCATGTATCTGACATTTTGCATTTCAATTTTTACTAGGGCTCGCTGGTGGATGACGAAGACTTGATCAATGTCCTTCACACCACAAAAGCCACGGCCCAAGACGTCAGTCAGAAACTTCAAATTGCTGCTGAAACTGAGGTCAAAATCACCGCTGCTCGTGAGGAGTACCGACCAGTCGCCACCAGAGGGAGCATCTTGTACTTCTTGATCACTGACATGAGCATGGTGAGCTGCATGTACCAGACAGCTCTCAAACAGTTCCTGGGACTTTTTGATCTCTCCATGGAGCGTTCTATGAAGTCGCCTATCACCCAGAAACGTATCTCAAACATCATCGAGTATATGACATTTGAGGTGTGGAAATATGCAGCGCGCGGTCTGTATGAGGAGCATAAGCTGATGTTCACACTGCAGCTCGCACTGAAAATTGACATGCAGGCAGGGAAGATTAAGCATGAGGAGTACCAGACATTTATTAAGGGTGAGTGTGTTTTTAAATTAATTTTTATGTACAGACACAGATGTGTCTGTACATATAGCCATCATCTGCATCTGTCGTCGCCGTGCACTTTTACCGATAACACGATAAGTGGAAAACCATTTTACCTTTTGACTTGTTTACTACATGTTTTAAAGATATGATAACGAATTTTAACTTTTGATTTTGTTCTTTGTTTCCAAGTGTATGTTTATGCTGTGTAAAGATATGTTATTTTTGAATTGTTGATCAAAGAATATCATTTGAGATGCTTCCCATTTTATGTTGGAAGAAGTCTTTTTGTTTTAAGAAGTCAAACACTTTCAGCCAAAAGGATTCTATTTACTTAAAATATACCAGATGTTTTTCATGTTAATGACACATTAACACCTTCAGTAAAGTATTATTTCATGATCTTCCCCATACAGGTGGCGCTGCCCTTGATTTGAATGTTGTGACCCCCAAACCATGCAGATGGATCCTTGATCTCACTTGGTTGAATCTGGTAGAACTGAGCAATCTTCACCAGTTTTCTGGCATCCTGGACCAAGTCTCCAGAAATGAGAAACAGTGGAAGCAGTGGTTTGATAAAGATGCCCCAGAGGAGGAGGTGATTCCTGACGGCTACAATAATTCCCTGGACGTTTTCCGTCGTCTGCTCTTGGTGAGGAGCTGGTGTCCAGATCGCACACTCCCCATGGCGAAGAAATATATTGCTGATACTCTTGGAGAGAAATATGCAGAAGGTATGAAAAGTTGTTTCAGAACAATTTGAAAGTTCTATTTGTGCATTTTTAGGTCTGAAATAATCATCTTATTAGAATGCCGTATTGAGAATACTGTTACATATTGTATCAAATATTTTTTTAAAATTTTATTGTCATGTTGAATTTTAAAGTGTTAAAAATGTTTGAGGAAGTATGTACTATTCAATGTAATGGACTACTTGTAAGCTTGAAAATGTTCATAAACTTTATATAGTTTGAGTTATTGTCACACTCCTTTTTATGGTCGATATATCATATGCACTTAATTATTATATTTCTATGTAACTAATTCAGGTGTCATTCTTGACGTGGAGAAAATGTGGGAGGAGTCAGATCCAAGGACGCCTCTGATTGGTCTGCTGTCAATGGGCTCTGATCCAACCAATAGCATTGAAGCTCTCGCCAAGAAACACAAACTTGGTAGGTACAGCAACCTACAGAAGGAATGGTCAGTCTTTGTCCATATTAAAGCTTTAATCTTGAACAGAGTTCTTAGATTGTCCACTGATCCATTTGACAGCTTTGCTGACTTCTTCCTTCATCCATAACTCAGCATTTTAATTTTTTATTTCCCTTTTCCTGTTTTGCTAAGTTACAACTTTTCTTTTCCGCCTTTAAAGAATGTGGCGCCATCTCCATGGGTCAAGGTCAAGAGGTCCACGCCAGGAAACTTCTGACCAAGCTGATGTCTCAGGGTGGCTGGGCTCTCCTCCAGAACTGTCATCTGTGTCTGGTGTATGTGATGGAGCTGCTGGACCTGATGACGGAGACGGAGAACATCCATGAGGACTTCAGGTTGTGGGTGACCACAGAGGTGCATCCGAAATTCCCTATTGGTTTCCTACAAGTGAGTTTTTTAAAAATTTTCACTGATTTGTCACATTTGTATCAGAATTCTTCTAAGAGTTATTCATTGATTGTCACTGATTATTCTTCAGATGAGTTATATGCTGTGTGAAAGAATTTGTGTGATTGCTGATTTTAAAATGTTTATAATGGAATTGAAATCCAGTTGCAGTAATGAGATCATTTTAGTTTTTGGACATTTTCCAATTTTTTCCATCTAGATGAATAAAATTTACTATGTTCACATTTAGATGTAGATTATTACAAATTTTCTTCCTCTATTTCCAGATCTCCATTAAGTTCTCCAATGAGCCCCCACAGGGTATCAAGGCAGGGCTGAAGCGTTCCTACGCTGGCTTCACGCAGGATTTCTTGGACGTGTCCAACATGCCTCAGTGGAAGCCAATGTTGTACGGTGTCGCCTTCCTTCACACCACAGTACAGGAGAGAAGGAAGTTTGGACCTCTTGGGTGGAATATTCCATACGAGTTCAACACCTCGGACTTTAATGCCAGTGTCCAGTTTGTTCAGAATCATCTTGATGACATGGACATTAAGAGGGTAAGATTTTAATATTTTGATTTTGTTTTACAAGCTTTGAAAGTTATTAGACAGGTCTTTTCTGCTGTGAAATGAATTGCTGTTGATTTTCCTAAATCAAAAGTTTGAGATAATTATATAAACAATTTTATTTTGATTTTATATTAATATCGTGCATGCATGAGCTGAATATGCACAAAATAGAACAATATTTCTGTATCTGTTTTATTTCTTGTAATGTTTTATACTTTTGCAAAACTAACAGATGAAAATGTATTATATTATTATTATTATTCCTATTTCTCTTTTCCAGGGAGTAAGCTGGAACACTGTACGCTACATGTTTGGTGAAATCCAATATGGCGGCAGAGTGACAGACGACTACGATAAACGTTTGCTGAATACCTTCTGCCGTGTGTGGTTTGGAGACCACATGTTTGGTGCAAACTTCAACTTCTACAAGGGTTATACCATCCCTAAGTGCACTAAGCTGGATGACTACATGACCTTCATCCAAAACCTGCCCCTGGCTGACACCCCTGAGGCCTTTGGTCTACACCCCAATGCTGACATCACGTAAGTGTGAACATGTCTACAAGAGTTTTCATCTTTTTTGGAGTACAAGAACAGTGTTTGTGTTTTATGTCTTCTATGGTTAGATACTTTCTTTTTCTTTCTTTCTTCAAATTTTTAAGCAGATGATAAAACCAGTTGACTTCTGTAATTTTTAATAAATGAATCTATTTGGGATCTTTTTTGTTTTATCACAATGATATGCATCTTAAACCAGTTACAGCTATTTCATGTTTGCTGGGTTCAGATTTTTACTGTTTGGTCCACTGTTATAGATACCAGACCAAGACAGCCAAGAACATCCTAGATTGTATCCTCAGCATTATGCCTAAGGACAGCGGAGGTGGCAGCGGTGAGACTCGTGAGTCTGTCGTGTTCCGTTTGTCAGACGACATGTTGGAAAAACTCCCCAATGACTACATTCCCTTCGAAGTCAAGGCACGTCTGCAGAAGATGGGCGCTTTGCAGCCCATGAATATCTTCCTGCGCCAGGAGATAGACCGCATGCAAAAGGTTATTACCACTGTGCGCACAACTTTGACGGATCTAAAACTGGCAATAGAGGGCACTATTATCATGAGTGAGAGTTTGAGAGATGCGCTGGATTGCATGTACGATGCCCGTATACCTGCAGCTTGGAAAAAGGTAAAACCACTTGTGAAACAGGTTGTTTTATTAATGTCATATTATCCAGAAAATCCAATTTGACTGAAAGTTTGAAAAAAAACAGTTTTCTTAATTGTTTTAAAATATTGTTATAATATATTTGCATTTCCAGATATACATGCACCCTGTTCTATTTTGTTTTATTTTATTTTTTCATTTATTTATCTATTTATTATAAACACCTAATTGTGTGTTTTGTTTACAGATCTCATGGGAGTCCAGCACACTTGGGTTCTGGTTTACTGAGCTGATTGAGAGAAACAACCAGTTCAGTAACTGGTGCTTTGAAGGACGACCAAACACTTTCTGGATGACAGGCTTCTTTAACCCTCAGGGTTTCCTCACTGCTATGAGACAGGTAATGGCTGGCTGACATGGCTTTAAAGGGTTAATCCTGTACCTTTTGTTGGTGTTTGATTTGATACCAATACTCAGATCCAGTTGTAGAGATGATTTTCTTGATTAAGAAAAATTTATAAAAAGTTTTTTTCATCAGTAACAGTGGATGATGTAGATGCTTAATATTATTATTATTATCTATTTATTTATTATTTAATTATTGTTATTATCTATTTATTTATTATTTAATTATTGTTATATATTTATTTTTGTTTGTTCGTTTTTGTTTACACATTTTTGTATCTTGTGATTCCAGGAGGTGACAAGAGCCCACAAAGGCTGGGCGCTGGATACAGTCGTCCTCCACAATGACGTCACACGCTACATGAAAGATGACATCAACCAACCACCAGCAGAGGGCGTTTACGTCCAGGGTCTCTTCCTGGAAGGTGCATCCTGGGATAGACGTGGATGCAAACTCATTGAGCCGAAGCCCAAGGTGCTCTACGAGCCCATGCCAGTCATTCACATCTATGCCATTAACAGCACTGGTGGCCATGACCCGCGCATGTATCTCTCGCCAATTTACAAGAAACCGAGAAGAACTGACTTGACCTACATCGCCGAGGTGGAGTTGAAGACGACCCAGAATCCAGACCACTGGATCCTCCGCGGTGTGGCATTGTTGTGTGATGTGAAGTAGAGAGATTGGTACTCAACTACAGCGTTGTTAATGGTACTGTCCACGTTAATGCTGTTGTTGTTAATACTGACTGTATTGGTTAATACTGCTGACACTGCTACAAAACTTACATGTAAACTTGTGTATTTCGCATTCAGGAACAAGACTTTTCTCTATGCAGTGGCCATTTTTACTTAGACCCCATGGAGTCTATGTAACATACACGTATTAAGGACATTGAGTAGCTTTGCTTTCTGACAATCAAAAATGTTTTTCTAATAAGTTTTATTAATGTATAATGCAAATGTATCATACACACTTACTGTTTGACATAGTTTGACCCTGTATCAATTTGACGTTGTTCTCGACAGCAGCCATCTTTGAGTTTTTACAAATCACTAATTTTTAAGCACAAATGTATGCTTTGGTACCCAGGAGAGTATATTTGTCCTGATATACCCCTGTAAATGTTTATGTAAACCCCAGTATATAGTACTAGTACAAAACAGAGCAGCCCAGCCATTATAAATTACGATATGTTTTTTTGCCTACCAGGCCCAGTATTTAATTTTCTAAATGTTATCATGTTGTACTGGACTGTAAAAATCAATGGAATTTACCTTTGAGAATCATAATGGAAAATATATTCATATTTCTAATGGAAAGTGACTTTACATTTTTCACAGCTTTCACTTCAGTGAACTCATATTTCCTATAAGCTTTATTTAAGTCCATACAAAATGTGAGGTTGAATTTTCCAGGGTTCTCTCAAAGGAATATAATACTGAATTCTCCGTCTGTATTCGCCAGAGGCTATATTTGTTCCTTCACTTATTTTGATTTCAGAGGTGTTGATTTCTGTGTTGTTTCCTGTCAGAAGTCAAATCTTGTTATGAATTGACAGCATGGCATGGGAGAGTAAAGTAAGCTGAAAACAATCATTTTTTCATTTAACACTGTCAATATCTGAAAGCCAGATTATGTATATATTTAATTCCCCTATGCAATGTTTGGACCTGGTGAATGGATAAATATTACAGATGATTTTATACATGTTTTAGTGCCGTGTTCTTACTGAAGTGGCCCTGGCTATGTATATGCATAAGGTTATGGTTGCCTGATGTGTTTTTGCTATATATTTACTGGTATATACTTATAAATATACATATACTTAACTGTGATCAATGCCCTACCTTCACTTTTTGCCTGGGTAAACATGATTTATTTACAAAACTTTTAAGTGTCAGTGAATATTTTGCTACTCTTAATTGTAAGTGACTATTGAATTAAAATTTCAAAGTTATATATTCTGCATATTTTAGCTAATATTTAAGAGTATTTTGAATATTTTAAAATTGCTTGCTTTGTATAATGGCAATTTTTTAATCATCCGTCCATTATTTTTTCATTTATATATTTCTGCAAAGGGATTTACTAAATAAATTTTGTTAGAATTATTGGCTATGTGTTGGTGATTGCACTCATTTGAAAAAAAATCTAAGTATTTATTGGTCTTATTTTCATAACGTGAAAGAGAGACGTACCTGTACTCGGAGACAGAGAGAAACTGAGACATAATTGAGAGGTACAGGTATATACAACAATATGAAATCTTAACAGAGACAAATACCACCCTCTACCAGATAATCACTAGATATTCAGAGATGTGTCTCTGGCTATTTAATGACAGGATTCTCTGCTGTAATAATTGCTTCCATTTGGCCAAAAGTTACCGGGTCACGTTAGAGAAAAGGGCACCTAATTAACCAACAGTCCTGCTAGAGGGTAGACAGTACAGAGGGGGTGATCCGCTGTCAACACCCTCAGCAGAAAGGGTTGAACTAGAACTATCCAAAAGAAGAGAAAGGAACAATAAGGCCTGCAGATACATTTTACTGTACCTGTATTTCAAATTGCCATTTCTGCTAGTTCTTTTTGTACCCAACGGAGAGGGTTTCTGGCCAAGGAAAAGTATAAATCGAAATAAATAGCAGACCCCCCCCCCAACTGTGATCTTGATGGCATCAATCTACAGGTGCTTGTTCCGGTACCTACGATTATGATTTTAATTATAAAGGGACGGGTAACAATTTGTGGGACTGGTACTTTAACAAAGTCTTTGCCAAATTGCATAATTTAGTCGTTAGTCATCGCATCTTAGACATTCTCAATAAAAAAAGTAAGAGAATATGAGAAACATATTTTACTCGCTGACACCGAGAAAAATGAAGACTGACATCGCTATCCAAACAAGGTAATGTTAGCACTCACTTTCGCTAATGTGTCATCTTTTCAAACTAATCCACGCGAGACCGACCGACGAACACACAATGATCACAATAATACTAGTTCAATTTTTATCCCTGCAATTATTATTACGTTAACATAACCTGTGACATTTATCGTGGTTTACATTCGCGGTCTCTAAACTGATACTTAATATCAACTTACATGAGTTCAACTATCGAAGTAGGAACAAGTACCTTGCAGTTTGAACTAAATTATAGAATGAATAGAGCCTTTTTTAATATAAGGTCAATACCGTTTACTTTACTTCGGTTGTTAATCATTTGCATCTTACGCAAAAAATGTTCACTGGATTGGTATTTAAATCATGGATAATTGCGATGTTCCATCAAAGAAATGCGTTATTTCACCGCTTTACTGTTAGAATCATAAGTAAGCCTTTCGAAAAAGATTTCCTGGTAACAAATTGTGGTACTGATAGTTGGGATTAAATACGCGTTTTAAAAACGGATTTGAAAGCACTTCAGATGAGGGAGATCTGGTTGAATTAAATCACTTTCTAAATCATTTGACCCCGTTTAAACGTACAATATTCCAGGCAAACTTTCGCTTGCAGCATTTCAATGCTTCCCTGGGTTTTATAAAGGAATACAACATTCTGCTTATGGAACAACCCACCGAAAGTCTTTTAATGAACCAAGCATAAAATATTTGTGACGAATAGGGTAGAGCTGCATACAGAAGAAACCCCCGCCCTGCTAATTTTAATTTTAATTGTTAAAACAACAGTTGAGTCGAGCTTTTATCCAAGAACAGAACAGAATCCCGATCAAAGATTGGTGGCATTAGTGACTGCATGGTCTTGTCGTTTTGAGGTGTATAGCTTCTAGGACTTTCCTGTTCACTGTCAATCATCTTGGGGTTTTTTTTTCAATTTTGGGACCATGTGATACTTTGTGTCCGGGTTGTTCCTCATGTTGACATAATGCTAACTTGCTGTCTCTCTTATTAACTGAATATATCGCACCGCATACCGTTATGGTTTTTCATAATCCATCAGTAGAAATGAGTGTTATTAGAGCATGAAAAGAATTTTCCTCAACTGTGCTGTTTTTTTTTATTTTAAAACTATCTTTTGAAAATAACAACGCCTGTATTTACATTTTCTTTTTATGTGATGCTTTATGTGAAATTTATTGGAATGGAGATGAACAAACACAGACTAAAATATGGATTTAAGAAATTTACACAGTGGATATTACGACATTTGCCATACTGATAATTTGGAAACATTTCATTATATCTAATAATCTCAGTCTTTGATTATTACTCAAAATATGACATTACCAAACCTGACTTGTACCACAAAATTCAGACTTCAAGGTCGTACCTGTACTGTGAGATAAAGCACGTCCCAGGGTTTAAATTTGATATTGGGCGGAGCTGAAGTAACGTTACAGTCCAACATCGCAATGACTGTTTAAGAGTCCACCCATGTAAATTTTTACTTGTGTATTGGTGCCACATGAATAATATGAAGAGAGCAGGGAGAGCACCTTCCGCGACCAACCTAACGTTACTGGGTGACTTATTGTAATGGTAATAATTAAGAATAAAATGCATATTAAATCTTACCAATGTCATCATAAAAGGTTGATAAAGCATTTTTCAAATGTGCTTAAGATGCGTTTAAACTGCGTTTAAATAATCCCCTGTTTGGATGTCTTTAATGTTCAAATGGCGTTTCTTCTAAACCCTTGGTACACATATTCTTGCACCCATTTGGTCCTTGTATCACTATATAGATACGAATGTCTTTTATAACTAGTTTAACAAGCCGGTAAATAATATCGTAATGTTTTGCTTTCTATGCTGAAATATATTTTTACAATTCAAATCTGCATACCTTCTACTAATCTATGTGACAGATGTAAATGTTTAAATGAATTAAATATATATGTCTCAAAAGAAGGCGCCTGATAAATGTCTGCTATAAAATGCAACAATGTCGTTACCAATAAAGCAGTGTCTTAGAGTCAAGAATTTTGAAAAAAAACTTACCTGGTAAAAAGCACCGGGAATCTTATGAAACGATTGGTTTACACACGGAAATAAATTGTAAAAATGAATTTGTGAGCACGTGCAAGCAAGTGTTTCGTATAAATAGCGGTTTAGACGTCGTTCTCGTTGTTAAAAAACAAGTCATTTATTTCCAATAGTCTACACGTGGACCAAGGTCCTACTGTCACTGAAGATGAAGTCAGCTGCGCTGGTACTGCTTATTGTTGTCGGAATGGTTTTCACTGTTTTGGGACAAGACGATCTCACACCCGAGCAGATTATTAAGGCTGTGATGGGTAAACCGCCTACCTACTGGAAAGTGATGTTTGCTTTGGACAGCAGCGGCAGCATCAGCGACAAAGAATGGTTGGCTAGCAAATCATCGTGCGGGGTGAGATACATTGTCTGACTTTGGTTAAAGACGTAACTCTAAGATCGGCTGAATGTGATCAGAAATGGAATATTTAATGTGCACTTCCTTTCCTGACAACACCCATTGCTGATATCAAGTCATCAAATCATATTTATATTGCAATATGTGAAACAAAAATAAATATTTGAAAATAACTTTGCATATAAAGATAAAAATTGATCTGTGTAGTAATGTTATTCATAAGTAAAATTTTAAAACTGTTAACTTTGTAAGCTATAACTGACAGCGTTCCTGTGAAAGCTTCCATCCCAACACTTGGGAATTCATCAGTCACACTGAAGTTATGTACACAGTATGGTGAACCGTTTAGTGAGAACTGTTCACTGCAACACTGCTCCAGATGTGAAACAGGCTGTGCCCCCCTCCCTTGTTTAAGCCCCCTTTATACTGGACGGCGTCCTTTCTGCGTCCAGCAGTACGGCCCCATTTGAGAGTTAAAACATTATAATACTTTACGTGCCGACAAATGGCCGATCATTGAGCATTCATTCTGATACAAAATCAATGCTCGTGCCTCCTTATTAAGACCACAGCGATGCCAAATTTCATGGTCGCAGAAAGGACGCAGAAAGGAGGCCGTCCAGTGTAAAAAGGGTATTAGTGAAGATCTTTGGGGCCGAATGTAGATACATACCTAGGGATGTTATGTGACCGTGGCGATATGATGATCACTGAAGCCTGTCCATTTAGCCAAGCTTCAGTGAAGATCGAGGGCAACCTCGACCCTCTACCCAAAAATATCTCGCTTCACTCGACATTTTTGCGTAGCGTCTCTCGGAAAACTCTGATTTAACTATGATGTAGTCTAGAATTTCACGACTACATCTTGGTTAAATCAGTCGAGGTCTCTTAAATGTTGGAAGTCAAAAACAGATTGATCATGTGACTTTCTTGGTATCAAGAGATTAGTGACGTTGCTTGCGTTATATATCTACCAGTAGACAAATTTAAAATCTCTCACACTCTTAAAATTTTGCATAAACCTTTCACGTTTAACAATTATTATTTGGCATCAAGAGAATTGTGACGTTGCTTGCGACCAGTAGACAAATTTAAAATCTCTCACACTCTTAAAAAAAAAAGCATAAACATTTCACGTTAAACAATTATTATTTATAACTTTATTACACTAATTCATATCATATCGGTATGGTTTGGAAACGGGAATTAGTTTACATTTAAGCCACACGTGCATACAAATTATTTGTAAATTTATAACTTTTTAACGAGGGTTGTGTTATTTACCTTTTGATTTTAAGCTGTTCATTCTTCCTCTTTATCAGATATATCGGTAAAAATAAAATATATTCCCCATTTGAACTTGTAATTACATGTAGCATGCTCCATGCTCTGAAAACCAATACATGTATATTCCGAAACCGCCACGTAGTAAAAAATGTCACCAAAACGTAGAATTATTACTCCTGTGGACTTGAAATGAACATCCGTTTGATTTTGATTGTATTCCGTAACCGCCTCGTCGTCAGAAATAACAATAAAAACTAGAATTATTACTCCCGTGAACTTGAAATAAACATCCGTTTGATTTTGACTATATTCCGAAACTACCTCGTTGTCAGAAATATCACCAAAAAGTAAATTTCTTTCTCCTTTGCACTTGAGAAAAATTAGTTTGACTATATTCCGGTCCGACGCTCCTTGTTTATCAGAAATGTCACTTAAAAGTAGAGGTTTTGCCTTCTGCAGCAGGCCCAGCTAGGTGCGGCTCAGTTGAGAAGCGTGCGGTCAGTGTCGACGATTGATTTAATACTTTTCACGCCAGTTGAACGTCCATGACAAGTATTTAGCAAAAATTGACCAAATTGGTCAGACATTACGTAAGAATTTGGTGGGAGGTGACCAGCACACGTGGACGAGTTTATTTCATATAACATAGAGCGTGATATAGGGTCACTTTATTCGGTTTTAGGGGTGTTTTAGGATGAAATGACTGTATTTTTTCTCGGTATGTATGTCAAATATGTCGCTGACGCTCGTGGTGTTATGGCATATATCGCTCGGGTGACAGTGTATTATCTCACACATAAATCTTTGTAGAATGACACTGTTATTGGGAAACCGCTCTTAATTAATTTGCTTTTTGTGTCCTCATTTGTAATTTGTAAGGGGAATACAATATATGCGGATATATACTGTACATCTACATGCATAACTTAATGGTGCAACTTGTAACTAAATACACGATACAGATTCAAATAAATTATGTTTAAGGACCTTATAGAAATCATCAGCAAAACCCCTGGTCCGAACAGTATTGGCCCCACAAAACACAGACTTGGCCTGGTACGCTTCTCTGACAAGGACGTCGACGTGACAAAGGTCTTCTACAAACTGGGGACTATCATCAATCGTGATGCTCTTGATCTGGTTCCGAAAGAGGGTAAGGTCAGCGTGTTTGTAAATGATACTTTTAATTATATTAGTGAAGGGCAGAAACCACCAAATAATTTCCCATTGACGACCATACTAAGAAATGCCTGCAACACTGCATGAACAAAATTACTCTGTGAAACATTTCCCATGACAGCAGACACACTGACATAACTCCCAATGTCAAAAAAATGTACTGTCATCAGACTTTCTTGCTTACCGGCATCACTTGAACATGTGCGCCCCTCTGTTTGTAAACAAACCACTGCACCACTCACAGTCAGTAGCCCCTTCCGCCAGAGGTCTCACGACTGCACCGCACCTGAGCCTGGTCCTGAAAATAAAACTGGCAGTAGGCCTAGTATACACCCTAGCCTGCTAGTTGATACCAAAACTAACCCTAGCAACACACAAGAAATACCAGGAAAAAAATGAAAAAAAAAGCAATCATTATCTCTCACTGAACTACATTTGCTGATTGGCTGATTTAGTGGTTTCTGCCCTGAGTATCGCTCATCACATAAATCAACTACAGTCCCGGACACACAAGCACTTGATCACAGACGCATACACACGCTGGCAAACACACATGCACATATAATACATACATACTGTACATGTATATATATATATATATATATATACATACAATCACGGACACACCACACACACGCACACACACACACACGCACGCACGCGCGCGCGGAGATACACAAATACATACACAATCACACATACTGCCATAAGCACGTGTACAGACATCAATATACATGCACTGTAGCAAACACTGTTTTTGCTTTAATGCATTTTATGCATAGCATTTATTTCTCAAATAAAAAAGCTTTTTAAAAATAAATGATTGTAAAATTTTAAATAATTGATTTTTTAAAAAAATTAAAAGCCAAGATCGAATAGGCTATTAGAAATAAGTTATTGCTGCAACAGTACATTAAAGTTGGTTTTATAAAACTATTAGATTAGTGATATTTGGAAATATTTACTTACAGAATTAGAAAAGATTCGTTATAGCATCTTTCGCCATATTTACACAGGTATCTTCACGTATACAAAGAGGGCTTTGGAGTTGTGTGACGGCGAACTCGGTGCCGCTGGTAAACGCCTGGTGGTCATATACACTGATGGAAAACATACGGTTGGTGAGCCTGATAAGCCTGATAAGGGAGACCCGGTGAAAAAGGCAGAGGCCATGAAAAAGAAAGGTTTGTACTTCAAGATCAGGATCCGGTTTCAAAAAAAAAAAAAAAAAAAAAAAAATCAGTGTTCCCTGGCTGAGAAATTAGTTACCAAGGTTACATTGTCACGTGGTTGAGGGCCATGTTTAAGATAAGTGTATACACTTAACATGTTTTACCCTCTTTAAATAAAGTTTATTATTATTATTATTATTATTATTATTATTATTATTATTATTATTACCCTATCAGGAACAGTGTAACAGCTCTCTCATAGAAATCCTAGTCACTTAAGCCAGGAAACTGACTTAGACTGGTTCCCACACATAGATCGATCCATCTGGATCGATCTAACTCCCAGGGGAGTCTCACTAAATTGTCATCAACTAACCGGCTTAAATGTCTGTCACACCCACCAAATCAGCTAGGGGGTAAAGATAATTACCCCCTAACAGCTTTACTAGGCGTGACAAGTTGACAGCAATTTAGTGAGACTCCCCAGGGAGATAGATCGATCCAAATGTCTGTGGGAATGGTCTCTTAAATTTGTTTTCTTTTTTTACACTGGGGCCAGGTTACCTTTCAAATTAACAGACTTTTTGAACATTAAAGAGTGAGATATTAATAAAAAAGTAGTTCATTCATTTAAAAGTAATTTTGCCTTTACCTACATTCGTCAATTACATAAACTACTCTGTCATTTCAGGAATAATTATTTGTGTCGTTGCTGTTGGTAACAATCCTTACATGAAGCAGATCAATGAGATGGCATCGTCTATTTTGATCGACGGAAAGCTTAGGAAGTGTGTCCTTAAAAAAGGCGCAAAACCTTGAATCCACGACTTGACAAGTTCTGTGCCCCGCAGAAGCGTTGTCACAGACAGTTTCAGTTAGTCTGTTGCAGTGTATCACATGGTGTAGATTCAGGACTTTACTGATGGAACTCTGATCTGGTACAAAACAAGACACCCGACGAATTTATTTGAACATATTGATTTCAGCCAAAACGTTTCCTTTGCCAATAATCATGTTAGCATGCTCAGTGTATGCATATGTATATATACTTCTAAAAAGTACACATATGATAGTGTTATTTGCATATTGATAAAAAAAATCGATGAGTCATACTCCATAGCTCTGAAATGATATTTGCGATAAAAATAAATCCTGATGCATATACAACACTGGATTTCATTTTTCAGCGAAAAGGAGATAAAGACGGTTTCAATTGTGATTGCCAACTCGTTAAGCCTATTAAGGGGAGACCGGGGCTAATTGGACCCCAGGGTAAGTTGGCCTCCCATCAAGTCTCTTTAATAAAGTTACTTTAAAATGCTAAATTATTTCATTTGGACTCGCTGCCGACGCTTTCTTAGCACTATTGGATACGGTCACTTTACAAAATGATGTGATCAATTCTTTTACCCCATAGTTACTTTGTCATAAATTGATGGGGGACAACTTACCCCGGGGTCCAACTAGCCCCGGTCTCCCCTATACATTACACAATGATCGTGCTTATAATAATAATAATAATAATAATAATAATAATAATAATAATATATTTCTTAAAAACCGCACTACACTACCGTCTCAGTGCTGTTTACTAATAAAATTATCAGAATTAAAAGTAATTATATAAGTAATAAAAGCTGAGGTGAATAAAACAATTAAAATGATTAATGCTGGTTGTAATAGTAATAGTCTAAACAATAAAAAGGTAGACAGATAAGTTAAAATTGCCCAAGTGGGCCAAAATAATCATTTTCCGTTTCTTTTATGTAAAATTCTTATTTACATATTTTAATTAAAATGCAAGAAAATAAAATAGAACACCTCCCGTTTATTCACCGCCCCACGTGCTTGGTTATTTTATAATTATTGAAAATAACGATGTTTCAGAACTTTTGGCTGAGTGCATAGTGCTTACCCTCGGCAAGTATAGTCTGACTTTGATAAGTGTTATTTACAAACCTAATAAGAGAAGTGTCATCGACACATTTAAAGGCGTCCGTGGATGTTTTGAGGTCGTTGATCGTAGTCACAAGTACAGGGCCAAACTTTGTAATTTGTGGTACTCCTGCATTAATGGTACCGGTGGCACATTCTAACTGATTACTCTTTATTTTTTCACACTGCTTCCTCTCTGTGACATTGAATACTTGTCACCCGAAGAGGTTTGTTGGTTTGATTTATCAATTAGACGATTTCATGTATTGTTAATGGAATATTGTCGCATTCATAAAAATCATCATAATGGCTTTTCGTGCTTTTTGATTTGTATTTTAATGACTCTTTGTGACCTTGTTTTAATTTGGTTTACTGCCTGTAAAAAAGTGACAAAGTACCAGCATTATAAAGAAACAGGGGTTCCTCGCTAAATTGTTTCAGCTTAAACGGCTTAGATGTCTGGCACGTCTACTGAAGCTGCTAAACGATAATTAATTACCCTATAGCAGCTTCAGCAGGCGTGTCAGAAATCTAAGCCGTTCAATTTGATTGCAATTTAGTAAGAATCCCCTTGGAGATAAATCGATAGTACTACAGTACGACAGGGTCTGGGAATGGTCCCTAAAGCACGTTCCACGGTTTTGATGTGGGGTGGAGATGGAATGATAAACTTAATCAACACAATGACTGTTCAAGTCCGCCCTCGTGAATGTTTTCGACTGTGCCTTGTCTGCAAAACGAATAAGTTGAAGAGTGCAAGGACAACCAGGCGTAGACACCTTCCAAGAATTACTTAAAATTAATCTGTGACTTTGTGTTATAATGAGAATAACCATGAATAAATTACATAATAAATCTTACCGATTTAACATATAAGGTTGATAAATCATTTTGCAATCTACATTAATGCATTGCTCTCTACGCCGAAGCATTTCATTGCAATTCAAATCCGCATACTCTCTACTAACATACGTGAAAGTTGCCACTGATGCTGAAGGCAGTAGCACTGATACTGCTGGTTGTTGTCGGAATGGGACAAGAAGCTCTGACACCCGACCAGATTATCAAGGTTCTGATGAGTAAATCTCCTCCCTACTGGAAAGTGATGTTTGCTTTGGACAGCAGTGGTAGCATCAGCCTCGGGGAATGGTTGGATAGTAAATTATTGTGCAGGGTGAGATACCGTGACTTTGGTGAAATACGCAACTCTAAGTTCGGCTCATTGTGTATTTAGAAATGGTAGCTACCTGGTATAATGTGGATTCTTCCTCTCCTGTTATTTTCTTTACGCACTCACTACTGATATTAATTAGTCAAAACACATTTATATTATAATATGTGAAACAGAAGTAATTATTTAAATAACTGACCTTTATTTAGATTGTCGGTCGCACTGAAAACGAAGTGAATATGCTTCCCCAAGTGAAACGCACATCAAGCTTAAACACCCCTTTGCTGCTGGAGGGGGGGTTCATTCTTTAATCTGACTTTATTCAGAGAGTGTAAATTTTTATAACAGTGCTTTTTTATTCCAGATACCATATCTAACATACCAACGCTCCTTACCCATTCATAGCTGCCAATTGCTAACATTAAAGGTGAAACTTATAACTAAATAACTGATATGAAGTAAAATAAATTTTGTTTTAGGACATCATAAGAATCATTAACAACACCCCTGATCCCATCAGTATAGACCCCCAAAAACACAAGCTTGGCCTGGTACGCTTCTCTGACACCGAGGTTACAAAGGTCATTCACAGACTGGGGACCATACTGCCATCTGATATTGATACTTCTGCTACCCTGGTGTAGGTAAGGAAGACAATTTTGTAATTGTTGCTGTAAAATACGCTCTGTTAAGGGATCTTGGATATTAACGAAANGGAATAAGTTGAAGAGTGCAAGGACAACCAGGCGTAGACACCTTCCAAGAATTACTTAAAATTAATCTGTGACTTTGTGTTATAATGAGAATAACCATGAATAAATTACATAATAAATCTTACCGATTTAACATATAAGGTTGATAAATCATTTTGCAATCTACATTAATGCATTGCTCTCTACGCCGAAGCATTTCATTGCAATTCAAATCCGCATACTCTCTACTAACATACGTGAAAGCTGCCACTGATGCTGAAGGCAGTAGCACTGATACTGCTGGTTGTTGTCGGAATGGGACAAGAAGCTCTGACACCCGACCAGATTATCAAGGTTCTGATGAGTAAATCTCCTCCCTACTGGAAAGTGATGTTTGCTTTGGACCGCAGTGGTAGCATCAGCCTCGGGGAATGGTTGGATAGTAAATTATTGTGCAGGGTGAGATACCGTGACTTTGGTGAAATACGCAACTCTAAGTTCGGCTCATTGTGTATTTAGAAATGGTAGCTACCTGGTATAATGTGGATTCTTCCTCTCCTGTTATTTTCTTTACGCACTCACTACTGATATTAATTAGTCAAAACACATTTATATTATAATATGTGAAACAGAAGTAATTATTTAAATAACTGACCTTTATTTAGTTTGTCGGTCGCACTGAAAACGAAGTGAATATGCTTCCCCAAGTGAAACGCACATCAAGCTTAAACACCCCTTTGCTGCTCGAGGGGGGTTTCATTCCGTTAATCTGACTTTATTCAGAGAGTGTAAATTTTTATAACAGTGCTTTTTTATTCCAGATACCATATCTAACATACCAACGCTCATTATCCCTTCATAGCTGCCAATTGCTAACATTAAAGGTGAAACTTATATCTAAATAACTGATATAAAGTAAAATAAATTTTGTTTTAGGACATCATAAGAATCATTAACAACACCCCTGATCCCATCAGTATAGGCCCCCAAAAACACAAGCTTGGCCTGGTGCGCTTCTCTGACACCGAGGCGACAAAGGTCATCCACAAACTGGGGACCATACTGCCATCTGATATTGATACTTCTGCTACCCTGGTGTCGAAAGTAGGTAAGGAAGACAATTTTGTAATTGTTACTGTAAAATACATTACTGAATATCTCTCATCACGTGTACTGCAGTCACTGACACACAAACGCTAATTTTAATATACATACATACAAACATACATTCATACATACAGAAATGCACACGTTCGGATACACGCGCACGCACCCCTACAGCTAAAAACGTGTGCATGCATTAATTTAAATACACTGTAACAAACGCAGTTTTTGTTTTTGTGCAAAGTATTAAGCATTAAGCATTATTAAGTATTAAGCATTTCAGAATTAAAATTCTCAAACCATGCAGTTTGGTATCAGTTATTACATATTGTAAGAAAGAAAATGGATTACTTGAAAATTCAAAAAACAATAATATCAATAAGTCAATAAAATAGCTAACACAGTACGTATATTTCTGCTTTAGTGAAAATAAAAATAGCAACATTAAATGAAATTATTTATTTACGGAATTAGATAAGGTTCGTTAAAGCATCCTTCACCATATTCACAGGAAGTTTGACACATCCAGCTAAAGGGTTGGAGTTGTGTGAAAAAGAGCTCGGTGTCGCTGGTAAACGTCTGGTCTTTATATTCACTGATGGAAAACATACGACCGGTGAGGTAAACCCTGTGGCCAAGGCAAAAACCATGAAGAAGAAAGGTTTGTACTTCAAGGCTAATTTTAAATTAACGGAATCTGTAAATATTTAAAGCGCGGCATATCAATAAAACAGGAGTTAGTTCATTAAAATATAATTTTGCCTTTCTCTACATTCGTCTATTACATAAACTACTTTGTTATTTCAGGAATAATTATTTGTGTTGTTGCTGTTGGTCAGAAACTCTACATGAAGCAGATCTACGAGATGGCATCGTCAATTTTGCACAAGGGAACACCTAAGAAATGTGTTCTCAGAGTAGGTGCGGAACCTCCGTATGATCCATTAATCGACTTGTTCTGAGACCTGCAGGGAGCGTTGCCATAGAAACAACTTTCCTTCAGCCAACCTGTTGCTTAATATTACGGGATGTATTTAATCAGTTCCGTTCACTTTTGATGCATAAATTGGAACTGTGCATCACATGCTTTGGATTCAGTTTGACTGTATTGATGAAACTATGTGCTGACAAAAATTGACACGTTTATTTGAATGTCTTGATATCGACCAAAGCGGTTTCTTGGCCAATAGTTATGTAAGCATGTTTATTTATATTTCAATAAAAAAGGAGCTAAATTGTGATTTCCAGCACGTTAGGCCAATTATACATTTAGCAATGATCGTTGTTTACGGCAAGGTGGTGTGGTACTTCTCTCGATTGAAATAGTACTGGGCTGCATTGTAACCAGTAACCACTGTAACCACTGTAACCAGTGTGAATAAACTATTTTAAGTGGATTTACGTGCATGGTCCAACATTATATATCTACTGTATACAATTAAATAATTCTTAATGGGCATTGGAGGCCATCTTGAAAAAATTCTGACTCCTAATTTTTGATCTGCATTCAAAAGTCAAAGTCGAAATCCCGATTTACAAAATTGCCACTTCGGCGATACCCACACACACACATATATATTTTATACCACGTGGGTGCCGAAGAGGCGTGGTATTGCCCCTGTGTGTCTCACACTGACCCCACCCAATAGACTCGCGGGTGTACACGTATATAGCCTGAAGATCGATAAATTATCAGGACAGCTTTTGTCTTTTAAACTGCTTACTATTTGTTGAAGTCTAAAGCACCGAAATTACCACCAACCCGTCTTGCCTATAAATAGTTATATGTGGCTGTTATATCAATTCACATAAACAACAAAGTGTTTGGCGTTTTCATTTGTATGACAAAAGAATTTTCAAATTAAATGTATTCTGAAGAATAATGAACGCTTCATCCCTTTGTGAACGAAAGAATATGAAATAAGTTTTATGAAAAAAGATGAATTACACACACTGGACAAAAGAAGTGTCACCCCTACTGAGCCAATACTATGGGGGAGATAAACGACTGTGGAATGATATGCTCCTGGTATCATTTTATTAACATCAAATTTCACAAAAAATCACAAAATGAGAACAAAATATACATTCTACCAAAATATGTAGTTTCAAGTCCAAAATTAGTACTTAGTGGCATAGCCACGTGTCNTTTTTAATATCCTAGACCCCTTAAATATCGCTCATCACGTGTACTGAAGTCACTGGCACACAAACGCTAGTTTTAACATACATACATACATACATACAAGCATTCATACATACAGAAATGCACACGTTCGGATACACGCGCGCGCACCCCTACTGCTAAAAACGTGTGCATACATTAATTTACACACACTGTAACAAACGCAGTTTTTGTTTTTGTGCAAAGCATTAAGCATTTAATTCTCAAACCATGCAGTTTGGTACATGTATCAGTTATTACATATTGTAAGAAAGAAAATGGATTACTTGAAAATTCAAAAAACAATATAAATAAGTCAATAAAATAGCTAACACAGTACGTATATTTATGCTTTAGTGAAAATAAAAATAGCAACATTAAATGAAATTATTTATTTACGGAATTAGATAAGGTTCGTTAAAGCATCCTTCACCATATTCACAGGAAGTTTGGCACATCCAGCTAAAGGGTTGGAGTTGTGTGAAAAAGAGCTCGGTGTCGCTGGTAAACGTCTGGTCAAGGCAAAAGCCATGAAGAATAAAGGATTGTACTTCAAGGTTAATTTTAAATTTACGGAAACTGTGAACATTTAAAACGTGACATATCAATAAAACAGGAGGTATTTCATTAAAATATAATTTTGCCTTTATCTACATTCGTCTATTATATAAAAACTCTGTTATTTCAGGAATAATTATTTGTGTTGTTGCTGTTGGTCAGAAACTCTACATGAAGCAGATCTACGAGATGGCATCGTGGATTGTGCACAAGGGAACACCTAAGAAGTGTGTTCTCAGAGTAGGTGCAGAACCTCCGTATGATCCATTAATCGACTTGTTCTGAGACCTGCAGGGAGCGTTGCCATAGAAACAACTTTCCTTCAGCCAACCTGTTGCTTAATATTAAGGGATGTATTTAATCAGTTCCGTTCATTTTTGATGCATGCATAAATTGGAACTGTGTATTACATGCTATGGATTCAGTTTGACTGTATTGATGAAACTATGTGCTGACAAAAATTGACACGTTTATTTGAATGTCATGATATCGGCCAAAGCGGTTTCTCTGCCAATAGTTATGTAAGCATGTTTATTTATATAATTTCAATAAAAAAGGAGCTAAGTACGGTCGTAAATTGTGATTTCCAGCACGTTAGGCCAATTATACATTTAGCAATGATCGTTGTTTACGGCAGGGTGGTGTGGTACTTCTCTCGATTGAAATAGTACTGGGCTGCATTGTAACCAGTAACCAGTAACCACTGTAACCAGTGTGAATAAACTATTTGAAGTGGATTTACGTGCATGGTCCAACATTATATATCTACTGTATACAATTGAATAATTCTTAATGGGCATTGCAGGCCATCTTAAAAAAATTCTGATTGCCTAGAATATGATCGAGTCAGTTTATATATATAGACTACTAATTTCTGATCTGCATTCAAAAGTCAAAGTCGAAATCCCGATTTACAAAATTGCCACTTCGGCGATACCCACACACACACACACACACACACATATTTTTTATACCACATGGGTTCCGAAGAGGCGTGGTATTGCCCCTGTGTGTCTCACACTGACCCAACCCAATAGACTCGCGGGTGTACACGTATATAGCCTGAAGATCGATAAATTATCAGGACAGCTTTTGTCTTTTAAACTGCTTACTATTTATTGAAGTCTAAAGCACCGAAATTACCATCAACCCGTCTAGACTATAAATATGTGGCTGTTATATCAATTCACATAAACAACAAAATGTTTGGCGTTTTCATTTGTATGACAAAGAAATTTTAAAATTTAATGTATTCTGAAGAATGATGAATGTTTCAACGACAGAATATGAATATAGTTTTATGAAAAAAGCTGAATTAGAATAATACCAGCTCCCTCACTCCAGTAAGCGCCGTGACAAAAGGTAAGACATGCATTTTTTGTTTCGTCTTATCGGCCTAATTAGCTGACAGACATTTCATTTTATTATTATCGTTTTCAATATCTTATTGTTGATATCTAATATTGACATTTGGTCCGTCATTACTGCGAGTATTTCTTCGTCATATCGTCTGTTAATCGTAAACGGATTATAACTATACAGTATACCTACAACATATGTGTCAAGCGAAAGACACCTGACATCCTGCTTTGGAACACTTTAAAACGCGTCTTTAAATATATATATATATATATATATATATATATATATATATATATGTGTGTGTGTGTGTGTGTGTGTGTGTGTGTTTGTCCATAAAACACCCTCGATGACGCTGCGGCTAGGCGGTGCATGAGGCTTGCTAATAAAAAATGGTGCAGTTTGGAGTAAAATCCGAACCCTGTGTTGTTTTCTCACATCTGATCTTGTCACGTCTCCAAATGAGTCATAGAACGGGCATGACTCCAAGGTTTAAGGTGGATTTATAGCCAAGTTGAGCCGATCTGTCTTGGTATGAACCTGATACGTTGAGCACATTTGGTAAGAAACTATTCTCTGACCACCAGGTGCGCTAGTAGTCTGTTATAAAAATGTTGTAAGCCCCACAGTGTGATTTTTTTTTTTTTTTTTTTTTTTTTTTTTTTTTTGTAGTATTTTAATGGGGATCTGATATAAGAGGGTAGTTGGAAACCAGAAGGGTCAACAAACCAGAAGGGCCAACCTAACTTATTTGTGAATAAGTTAGGTTGGCCCTTCTGGTTTGTTACTACCCTCTCTCCTAGCAGTAAACGGTCTAATTTAGTTTTCCTCGTGTCTATGGCGTTATGCTCAAGCTGATGTCATTGAATATATGTATAATTTTGAATTGATGTCTTCTTGGAAGAAAAACCCCTAACAACAGAACCTGATACAGCCTTTGTAACAAGGAAATAGAATAAAGATGTCTAAAAATAAACACGAAGTTGAGTTTAAGATAACATATTGATGCAAATTTCAAACTTTAAGCTACAGAATCTATCCTTTTCAGCCGCCATGGAACATTTTTTGGTGCTGGCAGTGGTAACAGGTAAGTATTTTGTCTCTCCATATTAGATAATTTAACTTAATATATGATACATGGTATTGAAATACATGTATATACATGTATGTAATATCTCTCTCTCTCTCTCTCTCTCTCTCATAAATGCGTTAAAGAAATACACAAGCATAACATACCGCACCGTACTCAGTAGGTAAGACAGGTGTCATAAGTAACGACTAACGACTGACTTTTTCATTCGTTTTTTTTCTGTCTTGCAAATTGTCAAAGCCTCCGCTCAGATTTTTATTTTTAATCCTCGTTCTTCCCATAGCCTTTATCCTGCCGACTTCCCAAGCCGTGTTCGACTGTTCCGGGAAGATGGACTACTTCTACAAAGACGATGTCAGCTGTACCAAATACTACGAGTGTCGCTACGGGCAGCTGGCGGGGACGTACTCCTGCTCACTGGGGTATTTCTTCTCTCAGGATAGTGTGGGTTGCATTCCGGCCACCAGGCTAATAGAGGACGGGGTGTGTACCCTTCACGGTGGGTGTATATAGACAGTCTTCCTGTAACCTTGAATTTGACCTTTGACCTTCTTTTTACTATGAACTGAAGTTTGCAAATTTTCCGTCCCTAATATATCTAAAACTGGCAGAGATATGCCCATAATTACTATAGAACCTGAATGGAATTCAAAAATTGACAGTCTTCCTGCAAACTTGAATTTGACCTTTGGCCGACTTTTCACTTTACAAATTTTCAGGCACTTATATTTACCATTGAACTTGGATGGGAAGTCTTATATTCACAATCTTACTGCAACCTTGCATTTGACCTTTTACTTTTCGGCATGATTATGTTATAAATTGTAATTTTTTACAAAAAATTAGAACTCTTGTTCACTGCATTTTGTAGAGCTTGTCAATTGTTTATATAAAAGGTTCAAAAGTTTGGAGAAACACACGATCTTCTACAATCTTATGCAATTAACTATAAATTTATACCGTACCTAGATTAATTCACCCATACTAGACCTGCGTATAAATTCACCGCACCTATTTTACAGGATACCGTGCTGGCATGGCGCCCGAAGGACCTTTCATCTGTCCGCGAGCTGGCATGTTTGCTGTAGCCAAGAACTGCTCCCTGTATAACTTCTGTAGCCGCGCGGACGTGGAGGGGAAAACTCTGCAGTGTCCTGAACAGTTCTTCTTCAACGAGACCATGGGATCTTGTCGCTGGCGAGGCCACTTTAAAGACTGCCTAAGAGATGGGACTCGGATCACGTCAACACCACCTCCAAGTTAGTGAACAGAACTGGATTATTTTCCATACATTTCCTGTTTATATGTTTACAGACGTTGTACTAATATATATATATATATATATATATATATATATATATATATCCCGTTATCTGCATTATCATTCACCTGAATAGTGAAACTGTCGTCTCTGATGATTTTTTGCAGTCCAATCGTGTTAAGTTTCTCGTTATGACCATTATCCTTACAGTATATATTACCTCGTAGATACTCTCACCTTTAAATTCTAAGCTGACATTTTAAAAGTCTGTTTATACACTGATATATTGTTAATCCAAATTGATAGCAAAACAGTCTACAATCTAAAAGTTAATGGAACTCAGCAGTCTCGGCGATGTGTATCTCCATCCAAGACTGCAGATATTTTGGTGACTAGAGCAAAGGCTTGCGAACTAAAATAAATAAATCCAGCACATATAAAACATATTGCAAACACAAAGAAACGATATGATAAAGTCATGTACATGAAATATTGATGTTTTACCCATTGGAATGATAGATTCATTGATATATCACAGTGTCGATGTTAGTTTTTGAAAATAATTGCCAAAGTTTAAAACTCTTAAGAGTAAACTAATTGACTAACTAACTGACTAACAAATAAAGAAACCAACGAGCAGATAAATAGACCTGTGGATTTTTTTTTTTTGCAAGTAATAAGCAATCTATTGGTATTGAACATTACGGGATAATCTAATTTTTTAGATGTCACACACTGTTATTTTTACGCTAATAAAAGCGCATTTCATTCTTTGTACAGCAACCACGCCGAAGCCTACACAGTGGAACCCCTGGCGAAGAACAACGAAAAGAATTACTACCACGCGTGCTCCGACCACCACGGGAAAACCTTGCTTTAAAGAAGGCTTAAAAACTGTGGACACTGAAGACTGCAGAGGCTTCTATATCTGCAACGATTTGGTATGGGTTCGATACCAGTGCCCTCCATTGTTAATGTACAACAATAAGACCGGCGTCTGCCAGTGGGATGTGAAGGTGGACACGTGCGACAAAGGGAAGTTTATTTGGCCAACAACAACAACAACAACAACAACTGTGACATCGACTACAACTCAAGGTAATAAAACAATTGGGGAGGGTCTCCGCACTGAGTCTTCCGTAGAAACAACTCTTCTTATCACGATGGCGGGCCTGCTATTATTAGAAATAACCGTTCTTATTCACTCGTTTAATCAGTCAACGATCATGTCAGTTTGAATAAAAGACTTGAACAAATGAAACTTGCTTTAACGGCATCTCTTTTCAATTAAGTTTGAAAGTTTGGCCACAAAAACATGATCAAATGCGATCGGCGATAATTTATACCCTGCCAACAAAATTTCACCTATACTAGACCTACGAATTATGCCACTGCACCTAATTTACAGGATACCGTGCCGGCATGGCACCCGAAGGACCTTTCATCTGTCCGCGAGCTGGCTTCTTTGCTGTCCCCAAGAACTGCTCCCTGTACAACTACTGTTACCGCGCGAACGTGGAGGGGAAAACTCTGCAGTGCCCGGAACAGTTCTTTTTCAATGAGACCGCGCTATCTTGTCGCTGGCCAGGCCACTTCAAAGACTGCCTTAGAGATGGGACTCGGATCGCAGCAATACAACCTCCAAGTTAATAAATGAAACCGACTGATTTTTTGAAATACATTTTCTTATTTAAAATTTTACAACTATTGTACTAAAATATACATACCTTGTTACCTGCATTATCGTTTATCTGACTGTTGGATTGTTTTAATGATCGTATATGATGATTTTTGTGAAGTCCAACCGTGTTAAGTTTCACGCTATGAACGTTATCCTTATTACCTCCGCCAAGGAGGTTATGTTTTCACCCCTGTTTGTGTGTCTTTCTGTCTGTCTGTCTGTCATCAACATAACTCAAAACGTTAAGGACCGATTTTGATGAAAATTTCAGAAACTGTTAGAAGTGGGCCAAGAAAGAGATGAATAGTTTTTGGTGGTGATCCGGATCAATAACCAATCAATAATCAATAATCAGAAAAATAAGTTGTTGACCGATTTTGATGAAATTATCAGGAACCGTCAGAAGTGGGCCAAGGAACAGATGATTAGTTTTTGGTGGAGGTGGTGATCTGGATCAATAATCAATCAATAATCAATGATAATCAAAAATTGCTGCCCTATCGGAGGTCTGCGCTCTCGGAGTGCTTTTCTAGTTGTATATGTTATCAAGTAGATACTTTCAACTTTAAAATCAACGCTGACATTTTAAAAGTGTGGTTATACACTAAAATACTGTAAATCCAAATAGATGGTAAAATATTCTGCAATCTAAAAGTAATTGAACCTTACGGATAGACTTGACCCTGTAAAAGACACACACGCTGTTATTTAAACGCTAATAATTGCACCTTTCATTCTTTGTACAGCAACCACGCCGAGGCCTACACAATGGAACCCCTGGCGAAGAACAACAAAAAGAATCACTACAACGCGTGCTCCGACCACCAGGGGAAAACCTTGCTTTAAAGAAGGCTTAAAAACTGTGGATACTAAAGACTGCAGAGGCTTCTATATCTGCAACGATTTGGTATGGGTTCGATACCAGTGCCCGCCATTGTTGATGTTCAACAATAAGACCGGCGTCTGCCAGTGGAATGTGAAGGTGGACACGTGCGACAAAGGGAAGTTTATATGGACAACAACAACAACAACGACAACAGTGGCACCTGTAACAACCCAAGGTAATAAGAAGACGTCTGGCGAATTGCGTGTGTAAATTTTGTTTACAGACTTTATTAAATAGAGTCAAAAGTAATCAATGTTGAAGACTGCGTACACCACTTAATGTGCCAATTTTCCGTAAGTTGTTAGTAAAAAACATTTAAAACTCTTTGTCATTGCGGATCAATTCATACATGTATCTTCCAATATATAGGCAGGCCTCTATTATCGGTAATTTGACTAGTTTGACCGTTCCGTTTTTGATAGGACTCGTTTGTCTGCTGAGCAGTATTCACTAGCGCCCTCCTACAAGTAACTTTCCTTTGATAGTAACGGTCAAGGTCACAAGAGAAGATGCCTCGTCTGTTGGCGAACCATTTCAATTTTTCAAAACATTGATAGTAAAAGAAATCCCGATCTAAGTGTTCAAATTATGCCATAATGGCAATGAATATGAAATTAGCAGACTCAAAAGTAATTACTTTGGGACATTTGGAGTTTATTACTTACACTTACAATATTTACACTCGCAAAAATGGAATGGCGTGTTTATTTCTAAACGTATATTTCGGCCAGAACTTATGAACTAATGTTCACGTATATTAAACTTAGCATTGGGTTCTCATTTCCTCTCACTAGTGCACGAGGGACTGTGCGCTATTTGTTTGATAGTGTGTGGGGCTTTTAAACAGAGAATCTGATATAATATCTGCAATGACTTCTTCCGACACTTCGAGTTCCCATGTCTTTTGCGTATTTTTCAGAATCAAAAACACATACAACTACAAAGAAGGAGACAATTGTTGATATTTCCGGCAAAACGAATAATTTGGAGATTCATCAGCAAACGAGAGCTCCTTATGTGAAAATGAGTCACAGCGAAATCCACTGCAGTGCAAATACCATAATGGTTGCCATTGCGCGCGAAGCCGTTGGTCCATTGGAAGGTGACGTTCACTTTGTCGCTCATCTCCGAGACCCACAATGTACCGGGAAGGACAATTCAAGCCACATCTTGTTCACCTTCAGCCTCGACACGTGCGGCACTTCAGCTCGGTTGACCAAAGCTTTTGTCGTATTCGAAAATGAAATTTTTATAAAGAACAGATTCCTTGCCGAGCAACAGGTGTCCGTGTCCTTTGAAAATTATTTCAACACGGTGCCCGTGGTTTGCAACTATGACCGTAAGGAACTCCTGTCCATCTCTTACAAGCCACATTTCCGAACCATGAATGTTCTAGAGCATGGATTTGGTAGGCCTTTTTTATGATTTACAACTCTTGACCAGTTGTTCTGTTATGCTACTGACAAAATGTAATCATTGATTTATTGATAAAATAGATATTAACCCAGAGATAAATGCATCCACGGTCCATAGGCTGCTATAAACGCTAAATAGCCACCAATTACAAATATCACAACGCGTTAAATCTTCTCTTTGCATCTTACAACGAACATGTCTTTTGACAACAAGTCACTTGACAATGAAAAGACATTGTCAACATACACTTGAACAAATGATGCTGGGTTGATAATTCTATACTGAGTGCGAGTTGTCGCGTTTTTTCTTTCTGGACAGGTCATCTGACATTCAGTCTGGAGCAGTACCATGGCGTCCAGTTTAAAGTACCGTACCAGCCAGACGACTACCCGCTGTCCGTGGACCTGAAGGACCAGATATACATCCGTCTGGGCGTGAGGCTGGCTGCAGCCAATGTGTCCGGCCTGGCGCTGAGGGCAGACAGTTGTAAAGCAACCAGTTCTCTTAGTCCGTTTTCATCTGAAGCCGTGAAACTTATTGACGATGGGTCAGTATCGAAAAATATCGGATGTGTTTTGCCTTTTTTAAGCGCAACGTCACTGCAACCAAAGCTATCAAAAATAAATGAAATCGATGTCAACGTAAAAAACAACAAACACTTACCTGCACATTATTTTATGATATATTTCCACTCTGGATTAGTTATATTTAATCTTTTCTTTAATTGAACGGATCGACAGAACAGCCGTTCTGTTATACTGAATGGACGTTGCTTACGATGGTTCGTTTTTACTTTCAATTATGTTATTAATTCAACATAAGGAAATTAACCTCCACACTCGAATTGGCCTACATGCCTTTTTTAACTAAAAATTACTAAAATACGTTTATAAAGAGTTAAAACTGGCGTTTTTTGTATATTGCACAAGAGACTATTATTTAATATTGCATGGCTGCACAGAACAAATCTTATGCCATCTCTCACGACTTCTACATTTCAGCTGCCCCGCTATGAAACAGTTGACCGTGTATCCTAGCAACGACCCCACTGAAGTATTATTTGGATTTCCAGCGTTCTACTTTGTACGGGATATAGAAAAGGTAAGTCCCAGGGATAAAGAGCAGTCTGTCCTCGGCGGCACTGTGACAACTTTCTTTAACTCTCACGAGGAGCTACTGTTATATAAGGACACGAGTGGTGTTTTAAATCAAGAAGTTACAACTTCTTGGTTAAACATATGGATGCATGTAAATGTAATAATGTAATAATCATCATGTAAAGATTGTCTCCAATGAATACTAGTGTAAAGGTAACGCAAAACAGAGTACACAAAGAATTACAGTTTTGTATATATCGAGTGTGTTGTAAAATATTGGAATGTATTGTAAAATATTTATTGTTGAGGTCAAAACTATGTAAAAGGTAGCGTACGTTGTTTGAATATAACAGTTGAATTTCGAGTCCAAAATTTAATTTCACCCACTGCGCCATTTAACGTATATAGAAGCTCACCCTGCGGATCACATTGTTCTCTCCTGTCACCCCATCTGTAGGTGTACCTCCACTGTGAGATGCAGGTATGTATGCAGAGTGACCCCACGTGTTCCTCTAGCTGCCAGACTCCCGCCAGAGGGCGCAGAGATGTGAGTGGTGCTTNAGCCATCCGGCGGAGCCGGCGGAGCCGGCGGAACGATCCGGACGAGACCGAAACCATGTGTACCACCAGCGCCAACGCTGGTGGTACAATAAAAAATTGCTGACTTGGCGGAGGTCTGCGCTCTCGGAGTGCTTTACTAGTTGTATATGTTATCAAGTAGATACTTTCACCTTAAAAATCAACGCTGACATTTTAAAAGTCTGGTTATACACTAAAATACTGTAAATCCAAATTGATGGTAAAATATTCTACAATCTAAAAGTTATTGAACCTTACGGATAGACTTGACCCTGTAAAAGACACGCAGACTGTTAGTAACGCTAATAATAGCACCTTCCATTCTTTGTACAGCAACTGCGCCGAAGCCTACACAGTGGAACCCCTGGCGAAGAACAACAAAAAGAATTACTACCACGCGTGCTCCGACCACCAGGGGAAAACCTTGCTTTAAAGAAGGCTTAAAAACTGTGGACACTAAAGACTGCAGAGGCTTCTATATCTGTAACGATCTGGTATGGGTTCGATACCAGTGCCCGCCATTGTTGATGTTCAACAATAAGACCGGCGTCTGCCAGTGGAATGTGAAGGTGGACACGTGCGACAAAGGGAAGTTTATATGGACAACAACAACAACAACAGTGGCACCTGTAACAACCCAAGGTAATAAGAAGACGACTGACGAATTGCGAGTGTAAATTTTGTTTACAGACTTTATTAAATAGAGTCTAAAGTAATCAATGTTGAAGACTGCGTACACCACTTAATGTGCCAATTTTCCGTAAGTTGGTAGTAAAAAACATTTAAAACTCTTTGTCATTGCGGATCAATTCATACATGTACCTTCCAATATATAGGCAGGCCTCTATTGCCGGTAATTTCCGTTTTTGATAGGACTCGTTTGTCTGCTGAGCAATATTCACTAGCGCCCTCCTACAAGTAACTTTCCTTTGATAGTAACGGTCAAGGTCACGAGAGAAGATGCCTCAGTTGTGACTGTCTGTTGGCGAACCATTTCAATTTTTCAAAACATTGATAGTAAAAGAAATCCCGATCTAAGTGTTCAAATTATGCCATAATGGCAATGAATATGAAATTAGCGGACTCAAAAGTAATTACTTTGGGACATTTGGGGTTTATTACTTACACTTACAATATTTACACTCGCAAAAATGGAATAGCGTGTTTTTTTCTAAACGTATTTTTCGGCCAGAACTTATGAACTAATGTTCACGTATATTAAACTTAGCATTGGGTTCTCATTTCCTCTCACCAGTGCACGAGGGACTGTGCGCTATTTGTTTGATAGTATATGGGGCTTTAAAACAGAGAATCTGATATAATATCTGCAATGACTTCTTCCGACACTTCGAGTTCCCATGTCTTCTGCGTATTTTTCAGAATCAAAAACACATACAACTACAAAGAAGGAGACAATTGTTGATATTTCCGGCAAAACGAATAATTTGGAGATTCATCGGCAAACGAGAGCTCCTTATGTGAAAATGAGTCACAGCGAAATCCACTGCAGTGCAAATACCATAATGGTTGCCATTGCGCGCGAAGCCGTTGGTCCATTGGAAGGTGACGTACACCTTGTCGCTCATCTCCGAGACCCACAATGTACCGGGAAGGACAATTCAAGTCACATCTTGTTCACCTTCAGCCCCGACACGTGCGGCACTTCAGCTCGGTTGACCAAAGCTTTTGTCGTGTTCGAAAATGAAATTTTTATAAAGAACAGATTCCTTGCCGAGCAACAGGTGTCCGTGTCCTTTGAAAATTATTTCAACACGGTGCCCGTGGTTTGCAACTATGACCGCAAGGAACTCCTGTCCATCTCTTACAAGCCACATTTCCGAACGCTGAATGTTCTAGAGCATGGATTTGGTAGGCCTTTTTTATGATTTACAACTCTTGACCAGTTGTTCTGTTTTGCTACTGACAAAATGTAATCATTGATTTATTAAAAAAATAGATATTAACCCAGAGATCACAACGCGTTAAATCTTCTCTTTGCATCTTACAACGAACACGTCTTTTGACAACAAGTCACTTGACAATGAAAAGACATTGTCAACATACACTTGAACAAATGATGCTGGGTTGATGATTCTATACTGAGTGCGAGTTGTCGCGTTTTTTTCTTTCTGGACAGGTCATCTGACGTTCAGTCTGGGGCAGTACCATGGCGTCCAGTTTAAAGTACCGTACCAGCCGGACGACTACCCGCTGTCCGTGGACCTGAAGGACCAGATATACATCCGTCTGGGCGTGAGGCTGGCTGCAGCCAATGTGCCCGGCCTGGCGCTGAGGGCAGACAGTTGTAAAGCAACCAGTTCTCTTAGTCCGTTTTCATCTGAAGCCGTGAAACTTATTGACGATGGGTCAGTATCGAAAAATATCGGATGTGTTTTGCCTTTTTTAAGCGCAACGCCACTGCAACCAAAGCTATCAAAAATAAATGAAATCGATGTCAACGTAAAAAACAACAAACACTTACCTGCACATCATTTTATGATAAATTTCCACTCTGGATTAGTTATATTTAATCTTTTTTTTAATTGAACGGATCGACAGAACAGCCGCTCTGTTACACTGAATGGACGTTGCTTACGATGGTTCGTTTTTACTTTCAATTATGTTATTAATTCAACATAAGGAAATTAACCTCCACACTCGAATTTGCCTACATGCCTTTTTTTAATTAAAAAATTACTAAAATACATTTATAAAGAGTTAAAACTGGCGTGTTTTGTATATTGCACAAGAGACTATTATTTAATATTGCATGGCTGCACAGAACAAATCTTATGCCATCTCTCACGACTTCTACATTCCAGCTGCCCCGCTATGAAACACTTGACCGTGTATCCTAGCAACGACCCCACTGAAATATTATTTGGATTTCCAGCGTTCTACTTTGTACGTGATATAGAACAGGTAAGTCCCAGAGATAAAGAGCAGTGATATAGAACAGGTAAGTCCCAGAGATAAAGAGCAGTCTCTGTCCTCGGCGGCACTGTGACAACTTTCTTTACCTCACACGAGGAGCTACTGTTGTATAAAGACACGAGTGGTGTGTTAAACCAATAAGTTTCAACTTCTTGGTTAAATCATATGGATGCATGATGCCAATATAATAACATGATCATCTTGCAAAGATTGTCTCCAATGAATGCTAGTGTAAAAGTAACGCAAAACAGGTTACACAAAGTTTTTACAGTTTTGTATATATCGAGTGTGTTGTAAAATATTGGAATGTATTGTAAAATATTTATTGTTGAGGTCAAAACTATGTAAAAGGAAGCGTAGGCCTACGTTGTTTGAATATAACAGTTGAATTTCGAGTCCAAAATTTAATTTCACCCATTGCGCCATTTAACGTATATAGAAGCTCACCCTGCGGATCACATTGTTCTCTCCTGTCACCCCATCTGTAGGTGTACCTCCACTGTGAGATGCAGGTATGTATGCAGAGTGACCCCACGTGTTCCTCGAGCTGCCAGACTCCCGCCAGAGGGCGCAGAGATGTGAGTGGTGCCTCCTCCTCCTCCTCTACCTATATCGTCACACAGGGACCCTTCCAGCTTAAGCGAGGTAAGGCACCACCTTCACCTCAACTACTGGACGTGAGGACTTTAGATGTCCGTTATGTACAGGAGTTAGTGTATGGAGAAAGAGGACCCCTTTTAAAACGAATTACTCTGTCCGTTTTAGTGTACAGTAAATCCCAAAGTAAACATTGTATACTTATAATTAGTTACTTTTACCCTAGATCTTAAGATAAAGATTGTAAACTTTGTTACCTAGATCCTAAAGCAGAATTTGTATACATTGTAACATTTACCCTAGCTCCGTAAGTTAACATTGTATACTTTGGTACTTTTACCCTAGATCCAGGAAATGCCACGGGCGTTGTTGTCGTGTGCAGCGTTGTTGTATGCGTTGCAGCACTAGCAGCCATTAGTGTGTCACGACGCAGACGTAGAACACGATGGCAGAAGGTAGCGACACATGACGGTGAAGATGATATTATGTAGAGTGACTTTAAAATATTGACCTTGCATGCAGATGAAAGCAACCTGCGTCCATCTTTGGACATTTAGGCCCTATATCTGCCGTTTGTGCGCATTTTATTTGACCTCGCATTGTTTCAAATCTGCTGATCTAACGAACGTTCTGGGATATTTAGAATGTATTTTTCTTGTTTGCATTATAAACATGGAGAGTGAGTTAAGCATATCGACAGTTTCATATCCATATGTGTGTTTGGGATCTTGCTTTTTTAAACTTAAGTTTGAATTGGTATCACATACAATGGATTTAAATAAGTAGGTCCTAAAGACGGTTATACATTTGTAAAATGAGAAAAGTACAGGTAGTATCGCTATTAAGGTCACAAATTGCAATTTACGCATTATATTTATTGTAGAAAAATTGGAATACTAGAAAATAAAATCTCAAATGCCAGCAATTCAAAATAAAAATACATTTAAGTCAAAATGTAGATGTTCCGAGTTTTTTTAAAAAAAGCACAGTTCTGGGTGATTGTGCCTATTGTTATTTCTGGTTGTGACATGGTGTTGCCCATGTTTAGCTGGCTTGGCTTTGTGCTTAGTAGGGTTTGTTTTATTGTGATTTGGGACACTTCTTATAATGCTAATTTCCGTTATTAAGTTCAGACTGTAATCAACATGATGGAAGAACGGCGAAAACCCAATCAATGTATATGTTTTAACATTAAAATGTCTCTGAAAACTAAAAGTTTAATCGTCGATTTCAAGANTTATATGTTGGAAAGAGAAGGAGGCGTATTAATTACATAAGCTGAAGTAAGGAAACTTAACACGTGGTAATTAGGAAACAGTGTACTTGAAATTTCCCAGATATTTTACATCAGTGAAAATGTTTTCATTGTAAGTAAAAATCATTTTTTGCACTCGGCAGGAAATTACTTTTACAATCGAGTTACCTGTTGAGGAAATGTATCCGGATGTTTTTATTTTTTTTCCATTAGCGGAAGCTTAGCTATTGTTTTTTTTTAAAGAAGATTGTCCATTAGGATACAGTTACTTTACAAAGAGATTTACACTGGCTGCAATTTAATTTTAATAATTCATGGTGGAAAAGAATGCCAGGTGTAATGGTAGGAAATGAGTAAATCGCTTTAGGACAAAACAGGTTATATTGATTATTATTTATCTATACATCATCTTTGCTTGATACAATTCCCTGCACCTAGATTATTTATATCCGATTATTGCAGGCCTAATGCTGCACTTGAAAATAAACAGTGATGTTCAATAATCGTCCAAAATATGTTCTACCGGTAGTAGCTCTTCTTGGAGTTTTCAATATGGCGGACGACCCGAATATTCCTAAAAAAAAAAAAAAACGTAACGGTTTGTAAAGTTTGGTCAACGTTGTCAATTACATGTACGAGGCAATATATGTCACTTTCATATCACCTTATTTTCTTGCGATTGACCGTTTCCTGTTCTTTCGCGTCCGGAGTCGTTTATTTTCCAGTGTTTCACGCTGTGTAGCACTGCATTGTGCATTTCAGTATGACTGCATGCTGGTCACTCACATCAACACGACCGTTGCTCTTGACCCGTGCATGTTTCTGTCGCCAATTTACAAAAAGGAACAGACTTTACTTATATCACCGAGGTGGAGTTGACAGCATCGGTGAATGGTTGGATAGTAAATTATTGTGCAGGGTTAGATACGGTGGCGTTGGTGAAATACGTAACACCTAGTTCGGCTTATTGCGTATTAATGTTGATTATTCCGCCTCTGTTATCATCTGTACGCATCCACCACTGACATTAAAAAATCAAAACACATTTATATTAAAATATGTGTAATTATTTAAATAACATGGCATGATTTAGTTTTAGTTCGCACTCAAGTGAAAAAGCTTCCACAAAAGAAACGCACACAAAGCTTCAACACCCCCTTGCTGCTCAAGGGGACTTTCATTCAGTAAAATACATTACTGAATCATTGTGCAGTCAAACACAAACGCTAGTTTTAACACATCCACCCATCCGCCCATACATACATACATACATACATACAGAAACACGTTCGGATACAACTAAAAACGTGTGCATACATTAATTTACATACACTGTAACAAACGCAGATTTTGTTTTTGTGCAAAGCATTATGCCCCTATTTCAAACAGACCACGAGTCCCACGAATCGCCAGGAATTGATAAATTTCAGGATCCGTGGTTGAATCGTAATCAGTTCGTGAAGTTCTTAACAGATTCGTATATATTCGTAGTCAGTACTTGCAACTCTTGATCAATAACGTCACGTCTCCAAACGGGTCATAGAACGCGCCCGGGCATAAATCCAAGGTTTAAGGCGTGTTTAAGTTGAACCGATCTTTCTTGGTCTGAACCTCATACGTTGAGCACAGGTGGTAAGAAACCACGAGGTGCGCTAGTAGTCTGTTACGTAAATGTTGAAATCCCCACAGTGTGATTTTGTGTAGTATTTTAATGGGGTTCTGATATAAGAGGGTACAATGTAGTAACAAACCAGAAGGGCCAACCTAACTTATTTGTGAATGCCGGACGGTCTCCTAGCAGTAAACGGTCTAATTTAGGAACGCGCAAGTTATTTGTTTCCTCGTATCTATGGCGTTATGAGCTGTCTGATGTCCTTGAATATATGAATAATTTTTGAATTGATGTCTTCTTGGAAGAAAAACCCCTAACAACAGAACCTGGTACAGCCTTTGTAAAAAGTAAATAGAATTAAGATGTCTAAAAATAAACACGAAGTTGAGTTTGAGGTAACCAATTGATATACATTTCAAACTTTAAGCTTCACTATCTATCCTGTTCAGCCGCCATGGAACATTTTTTGGTGCTGGCAGTGGTGACAGGTAAGTGTTTTGTCTCATCATTTTAGCTATTTAACTTAATATATATATGGTATTGAAATACATGTATATACATATGCGTACTTTCTCTCTCTCTCACTCTCTCTCATAAATGTGTTTAATAAATACATAAGCATTGATCACACACTACACCGAATAGTGTACCGGTATATTAACAGCAAAGACATGTGTCAGAAGTAACGACTAACGACTGACTTTTTCATTCATTTTTTTTTTTTTTTTTTTTGCTATCTTGCAATTTGCCAAAGCCTTCACTCAGATTTTTATTTTAAATCCTCGTTCTTCCCTAGCCTTCACCCTGCCGACTTCCCAAGCCGTGTTCGACTGTTCCGGGAAGAAGGACTACTTCTACAAAGACGATGTCAGCTGTATCAAATACTACGAGTGTCGCTACGGGCAGCTGGTGGGGACGTACTCCTGCTCACTGGGGTATTTCTTCTCTCAGGATGCTGTGGGTGGCATCTCGGCTACCAGGCTCATAGAGGACGGGGTGTGTACCCTTCACGGTGGGTATATATAGACAGTCTTCCTGTGACCTTGAATTTGACCTTCTTTTTTACCATGAACTGCAGTTTGCAAAATTTCTGTCCTTTAAATCTCTAAAACTGACAGAGATATGCCCATAAGTACTATTGAACCCGAATAAGAACTCATATATTGACAGTCTTCCTGTGACATTAAATTTAACCTTTGGCCTTCTTTTTACCATGAACAAAAGTTTGCAAAAATTTCCGTCCCTTATGTCTCTAAAACTGGCAGAGATATGCCCATAATTACTGTTGAACCTGAATGAAACTCATAAATTGACAGTCTTCCTGCAAACTTGAACTTGACCTTTGACTTACTTTTCACCATTACGCCGCACTTTACAAATTTTCAAGCACTTATATTTACTATTGAACTTGGATGGGAAGTCTTATATTCACAGTCTTACTGCAACCTTGGATTTGACCTTTTACTTTTCGCCACGATTATGTTATAAATTGTAATTTTCTACAAAAAATTGAGAACTCTTGTCCACTGCATTTTGTAGAACTGTTCATATAAAAAGTTTAAAAGTGTGGTGAAATACATGATCATATACAATCTTATGCAATTAACTATACATTTATACCGTACATACTAGACCTGCGTATAAATTCACCGCACCTTGTTTACAGGATACCGTGCTGGCATGGCGCCCGAAGGACCTTTTATTTGTCCGCGAGCTGGCATGTTTGCTGTCGTCAAAAACTGCTCCCTGTACATCTTCTGTAACCGCGCAGACGTGGAGGGGAACACTCTGCAGTGTTCGGAACAGTTCTTCTTCAACGAGACCATGGGATCTTGTCGCTGGCGAGGCCACTTCAAAGACTGCCTTAGAGATGGGACTCGGATCACGTCAACACCACATCCAAGTTAGTGAACAGAACTGGTTTAATTTTCATACATTTCCTGTTTATATGTTTACAAACGATGTACTAATATATATATATCCCGTTATCTGCATTATCATTTATCTGAACAGTGAAATTGTCGTCTCTGATGATTTTTTGCAGTCCAAGCGTGTTAAGTTTCTCGTTATGAACATTATCCTTGCAGCATATGTTGAAATATTAAAAGTCTGGTTATACACTGAAATACTGTAAATCCAAATTGATGGTAAAACATCTTACAATCTAAAAGTAAATGGGATTCAATAGTTCTGGCGATGTGTTTCTATATCCAAGACTGCAGATATTTTGTTGACTAGAGCAAAGGCTTGCGAACTAAAAAAATCCAACACATACAAAACATATTGCAAACACAAAGGAACGATATGATCAAGTAATGCACATGAAACTTGATATTTGTACCCACTGAAAAGATCAATTCATTGCTTTGCCATAGTGTCGATGTTAGTTTTTAAAAATAACTTGCAAACTTAAAAAATTCTTAAGAATAAACTAACCGACTAACCAACTTACATGTACTAACAAATAAACAAACAAATGAGCAGATAAATAGACTTGTGGATTTTTTTTTTTTTTTTTTTTTTGCAAGTAATAAGCAATCTATTGGTATTGAACATTGCGGGATAATGCAATCTTTTAGATGTCACACACTGTTATTTTAACGCTAATAATTGCACCTTCCATTCTTTGTACAGCAACCACGCCGAGGCCTACACAATGGAACCCCTGGCAAAGAACAACAAAAAGAATTACTACCACGCGTGCTCCGACCACCACGGGAAAACCTTGCTTTAAAGAAGGCTTAAAGACTGTGGACATTGAAGACTGCAGCGGCTTCTATATCTGCATCAATTTGGCTTGGGTTCGATACCAGTGCCCGCCATTGTTGATGTATAACATTAAGACGGGCGCCTGCCAGTGGGATGTGTTGGTGGACACGTGCGACAAAGGGAAGTTTATATGGACAACAACAACAACAAAAGTGACATCGACCACAACTCTAGGTAATAGAAGAAAAACTGGGGAAGGTCTCCGCACTGAGTCTTCCGTAAAAAAAACTCTTTCTTATCACGATGGCGGGCCTGTTATTATTAGAAATTACCATTCTTATTCACTACGGCGTTAAATCTGTCAACGATCATATCAGTTTGAATGAAATATTTGTTGAACAAATGAAACTTGCTTTTACAGCTCCTCTTTTCAATTAAGTTCACAAGTTTGGCCACAAAAACATGATCAAATGCCACTGGGGCTTAATTATACCCTGTCAACAATAATTCACCAAAACCAGACCTACAGATTATGCCACCGCACCTATTTTACAGGATACCGTGCCGACATGGCACCCGAACGAGCTTTCACCTGTCCGCGAGCTGGCATCTTTGCTGTAGCCAAGAATTGCTCCCTGTTCAGTATCTGTGACCGCGCGGACGTGGAGGGGAGTATTCTGCAGTGCCCGGATCAGTTCTTCTTCAACGAGACCATGGGATCTTGTCGCTGGCGAGGCCTCTTCAAAGACTGTCTTAGAGATGGGACTCGGATCACGTCAACCTCACCTCCAAGTTAGTAAACAAAACCGACTGATTTTTTAAAATACATTTTCTTATATAAAATTTTACAAACATTGAACTAAAATATACATACCTTGTTACCTGCATTATCGTTTATCTGACTGTTGAATTGTTTTAATGATCGTATATGATGATTTTTGTGCAGTCCAACCGTGTTAAGTTTCATGTTATGAACGTCATCCTTATTGTATATGTTACCATGTAGATACTTTCACCTTTAAAATCAAAGCTGACATTTTAAAAGTCTGGTTATACATGTACACTAAAAGACTGTAAATCCAAATTGATGGTAAAATAGTCTACAATCTAGAAGTTAATGTGACACAGTAGCCGCAGCAATTTAAGACCTGCAGATATACAGTACAGTGTTGCAATACTTTGTGACCTGGTTGGCTGCAGAAATTAATGAGCACTCTATTGGTATTACGGAAAGACTTGACCCTGTAAAAGACACAGACACAAGCCTTGCTTTAAAGTAGGCTTAAAAACTGTGGACACTAAAGACTGCAGAGGCTTCTATATCTGCAACTTTTTGGTCTGGGTTCGATACCAGTACCCACCATTGTTGATGTATAACAATAACACCGGTGTCTGCCAGTGGGATGTGTTGGTGGACACGTGAGACGAAGGGCAATTTATATGGAAAACAACAACCACGGCAACAGTGGCACCTGTAACAAATCAAGGTATTAGGAAGACGACCGACGAATTGCGAATGTAAATTACGTCCGTAGACTTTGTTAAATAGACTCCTAAATCATAAATATTGAAGACTGCTTACATGTACAGTCAAGTAAAAAGAAATGTAACACTCAGTTTTGGGAGTTTTTTTTTTTTTTTTTTTTTTTTTTTTTTTTTTTTTTTTTTTTTTGGGGGGGGGGGGGGGGGAGAAAAATTTTTTTTTTTGAGTTCCGCCGGTTTTTTTTATTTTTTTTTTG